GACGTGACAGGCTCAGGTTCCGGAAACGGAAGTTGAACGGGCTCCGCTCTAGGAGCTGATTGTCTGGAAAACTCCTGCGAAAACAAATCAAATCGAGTGTTGAGCTCACAAATGAATCTGTCCACAAGCCGGTCGTGGACATCACGAATGGCGCTCTCAAATCTCCTAGCCAGGTCATCGTGGCTCTCACTGAGGGAGGTTCCAAGGCTCTGAATCTGGGCCCGTTGATCATTCAGAATCCTCCAGAGTGGTTCCGCTGGGTTAGTCGGTTGGTCGCAGTGTTCTGTCATGATGGGTTCACAAGAGAGACCCAAGTATGCAGAACCCACGAAACGGAAACTGAAGTGAAAGGTTAAACAAAGTTTATTGTTTCACAAGCACAGAGAAATCACAGGTTCTGGTTCAGGCCTGGGGGGCAGGTTCACTGGAGTCTTGAGGGTTCTTGGTTAAGCTTTGGGAGGAGAACTGTTGGGTCAAGAGAATGTTTGTTCAGCAGAGTCCGTAGCTGCTTCAGCGTCTTACTTCTAGAGGGAGGTCAGACCTTGGTTTTGAGTTTCCAGCTCTAGGTCCAGAGCTGCATGGAAATCCAGAGAGGAGTCTTCAGGTTTGGCTCAGAGGGCAGACACGGAAGGTTAAGCTCTTCCAGAGCTTCACAGGAGAAAAACAGGTTTCCAGAAAGTAGAGACAAAAAGGGTTAGAATCCAGTCTGGATTCAAAGTCAACAAAGTGCTCAGAAGGATCTTGGCCTTAGTGCTAACCAACTGAATTCAACACTGCGACATTGAGGCAAGGTCTGAAGACAGCTTATATAGTGTGGATCCTCTGATGAAGGAATGAGCCTCAGCTGTGCAGGAGGCTAGGCAGAGGAGGATCCACGGCGGACTCTGCTGGAGGAAGGTGGTATTACTCCAGCTCCCAACAGTACCCCCCCCCTCAAGGGCGGATACCAGACGCTTCAGACAAGACCTAGGGAAACAAGAGAACAAAAAAACAACCCACCAAGGGTGGGCGCAGGGGGCACCATTCTAGGAAGGCAAGAAGCAGAGTCCACAACAAAAAACCAACCCACCCAGGGTGGGCGCAGGGGGAAAAGAAAAAACAAAAAACAAAAACTGAGTCCCAGAACAAAAAACAATCCACTTAAGGGTGGACGACAACAAAGAAAGTCTCTGATATTTAACCGGGAGACCACCGGTAGCAGCTCAGAAATAGGTGCAGGGCGGGGCCGGCCACTGCGGCACTGGAGCTGATTCAGAGAGGACCGCCGACTGCAGCTCTGGCCGCAGCATGGAGAGAGCCGCCCACGACGACTCCGGTGCAGCCTCCGAGGTGTCCTGGGGCGCCCACCGTGGGCCCCTGGATGCTCGGATCGGCCGTAGAGGTGCTCCAGTAGGTTCGGCGGGGCGGGGACTGGTTGACTGACTGGAGGCATGGCAGGAGGGAGACCACGATTCAACGTGTCTATTAGTCCAATTAATATGAGGGTTGTGTCGCTCCAACCACTCATATCCCAGAACCAAGGGAGAACAGGCTGATGGGAAAACAAGAAAGGTTAAAGTCTCTCGATGACTACCAGAAACTTGAAGCTGAAGAGGCTGAGTCTCGTGGGTAACTTGGTGTAGACTCCTTCCATCAATGGCTGAGACTTTAAGTGGCTTCCTCAGAGGGGTGGTCTTAATGTTTAGCTGTTGAACTAGATTTGAGTCAATAAGGTTTCTCTCACAACCAGAGTCTATGAAGGCTGACAGAGTGAGAGTCTGATCCGAACAGAACAGGGTAGCAGGTAAAAGTAGATGAGAGGATTTTCTATTTAGTTGATGCTTCACCAGACTCCCCATAATCGCAGACGAGCTCCAAATCCTATTCTTTGCTGGACAGGAAGAAACAAAATGCCCAGGCATTCCACAATAAAAGCAAAGTTTCTCCTTAAACCTTCTCTTCCTCTCATCGGGTGTGAGCCTAGTGTGACCAATCTGCATTGGCTCCCCCTCAGTTGGTTCAAAAGCTGGTGGAACAAAATGAGTTTTAGACACGGGTTCAGATTCAGGCTGGACACAGCTCTCAGTTCTGAACGCCTCTTCGGGAGAAACAAAAGAAGAGGTGTCCCTTCTCTTAGCCGTAGAAACAGAAACTGGAAAAACATGACTCTTAATCTTTGACTTGGATCTGGTTCGAAGACGGTTGTCCAAACTAATTGTCAACCTGATGAGTTCCTCCAGAGTCTCAGGTGTCTCGAGTGTGGCGAGTTCATCTTTTACGTTCTCGTTTAAAGCGTTGAAAAAAGCACTCTTAAGTGCACACTCATTCCAGCCTGAGGCTGCAGCTTTAACCCGGAAGTCAATGGAAAAATCTGCTACAGAGGAATTTCCCTGTTTAAGATTCAACAGAGCACGAGAGTCAATTGTTTGGTCAGAATCATGGTTAAACACTTGGGAAAACTCTGAAACAAAATCGGAAAATTCACATCTGAGGCTGTCTTCTGAGGCAAACCTTGCCTCCGACCACTCTAGGACACATCCGGTTAGTTGGGACAGAATAAACGTTATTTTCTTTTGTTCAGTAGGGAAACTGCCAGGAGAGTTCTGAAAAATAAGTCGGCATTGAAACAAAAATCCCTTACATTTGCTTGGGATACCTGAAAATTTCTCTGGGAGAGACGGACGGAATTCCGGAAGTGACGTGACAGGCTCAGGTTCCGGAAACGGAAGTTGAACGGGCTCCGCTCTAGGAGCTGATTGTCTGGAAAACTCCTGCGAAAACAAATCAAATCGAGTGTTGAGCTCACAAATGAATCTGTCCACAAGCCGGTCGTGGACATCACGAATGGCGCTCTCAAATCTCCTAGCCAGGTCATCGTGGCTCTCACTGAGGGAGGTTCCAAGGCTCTGAATCTGGGCCCGTTGATCATTCAGAATCCTCCAGAGTGGTTCCGCTGGGTTAGTCAGTTGGTCGCAGTGTTCTGTCATGATGGGTTCACAAGAGAGACCCAAGTATGCAGAACCCACGAAACGTAAACTGAAGTGAAAGGTTAAACAAAGTTTATTGTTTCACAAGCACAGAGAAATCACAGGTTCTGGTTCAGGCCTGGGGGGCAGGTTCACTGGAGTCTTGAGGGTTCTTGGTTAAGCTTTGGGAGGAGAACTGTTGGGTCAAGAGAATGTTTGTTCAGCAGAGTCCGTAGCTGCTTCAGCGTCTTACTTCTAGAGGGAGGTCAGACCTTGGTTTTGAGTTTCCAGCTCTAGGTCCAGAGCTGCATGGAAATCCAGAGAGGAGTCTTCAGGTTTGGCTCAGAGGGCAGACACGGAAGGTTAAGCTCTTCCAGAGCTTCACAGGAGAAAAACAGGTTTCCTGAAAGTAGAGACAAAAAGGGTTAGAATCCAGTCTGGATTCAAAGTCAACAAAGTGCTCAGAAGGATCTTGGCCTTAGTGCTAACCAACTGAATTCAACACTGCGACATTGAGGCAAGGTCTGAAGACAGCTTATATAGTGTGGATCCTCTGATGAAGGAATGAGCCTCAGCTGTGCAGGAGGCTAGGCAGAGGAGGATCCACGGCGGACTCTGCTGGAGGAAGGTGGTATTACTCCAGCTCCCAACAGCATGAGCTTTTCTAGATCCTGTTTGGACATTAGTCCTTTTATCCTGGAGATGTTCTTCAGGTGATAAAAGGCTGATTTAGTAACTGCCTTTCTGTGCCCATCATAACACCAAGATGTCAGCCATAAGTAGTGTTTTTTTAGCTGTATTATGATGCATCCACAAAATGATCATCTACCTAACGTGCTGATGGGTTCATAGTCACCTGGTGACATTGTGATGTAAAGCTGTGTGTTTGCATTGTTATGGTAACTGATCTAGTTGTGATTATAATATGAACTAAGGGGAGCATGTAGATGTTGAATAGGAGGGGCCCCAGAATGGAGCCTTAAGGAACCACACATGTGATTTTTCTCTAATTTAAAGTTCCCCACTGACACATAGACATCCCTGTCCATCAGGTAGGATTTAAACCAGCCCAGTGCTGTACCGGAAAGGCCAACACAGTTTTCCAGACACTCTAATAAAATCAATTGATAAACTTTTTTCCAATTTGCATGTTTTCAAAACAAAAACAAGGCTTTTTTGGGCTACTGTATAAAACATCAAACTCAACGCTGTTCCTGACATTTTGAATTGAAAAAGCTTCCTGGATGGGAAGCGGAACGTCTTTAAACTTGGAAACAAAGTCCAGTGGATTGTTTTACTTTTTTTTTTTTTTGTGTGGAATGACTGTGACCTGGATGACTGAGAACCTTCACCAGCAAGTGATCAACAGTATCATGCTGCACTGAGGTCGAGAAATACCAGCCCTGTGATTCTTAACCAGCCTGTATTTATACCGTAATTAGGGTAGTCTCAATACTGTGGTTGGCACGGAAACCCTACTGGAAGACATCAAAGCAGCTTGTCATTGTTAAGAAGGCATTTAATTGTTGAAACACAAATGCTTCAACAATTTTACGGATGAATGGGAGGTTTGAGATGGTTCTTTTATTTAACAATGGTTTGATAATTGCTATTTTTAAGGCGTGGGGGAAAACACCTGACATAAGGAATATGTTAAAGTTTTGCATCAAATCAGACTCTAAAACCTTCGTAATAAAACCTGCGGCTGAGACATCAAGACAGCAGGAAGAAGAGCTTAGCTGCTGAACAGTTTTTCTAAACTTTTGCAGTTTATTTATCTATGATGTGGCTTTGTGGTTTTGTTTTACACTATGCAATTTCTGGAATATGTCAAACAGAGCTCTGTGGAAAAGAAAAAGAAGGTAGTAGGTAGATTGTAACAGAACATATAATAAAGGCTTTCCGCTTAAACAGATTCATGGAAAAGGGAGCCCTGCTCAGCTCACTTAAACAGGCCCTGTGAATGATGTCATGTGAGCTTTTCTCTGGGCAGGCTGGACTAACACCAGAGGTGGTATCAGCTCCCTGCAGATGAAGCTCAACTTTCCATGAAGTTTCAGATTTTGCATTACAGCTTCTACCCCAATCCTGAATGCTGAAGGCGCTCAGACACTTTAATCCTGCAAGATGGGTTTCTGCCTTTGAGGATCATCACCGTCAGCAGCAGCAGCAGCAGCTCTCTATTAGAATGAAGAGCCAGAACATCAGGACTCTCTTCCTCATCCTCTCCGTGCTCCTCTACCTGCTGATCGGAGCCGCCGTGTTCGACGCGCTGGAGACGGAGAGCGAGAGCTCCAGGAAAAGAGCCCTGGAGCAGAAACTGAGCGAGCTGAAGAGAAAGTACGGCTTCAAAGAGGAGGACTACCGGGAGATGGAGAGAGTCATCCTGCAGTCGGAGCCGCACCGCGGCGGGAAACAGTGGAAGTTCACCGGCTCTTTTTATTTTGCCATTACCGTCATCACCACTATAGGTAGGAACTCACCTTATAGGAGCGCTTTCTATTGTCTACCAGGCTTTCTCTCTCTGAAAGATCCTGCGTTTTAACTATTTTATTCTGACAGCTGTTAAAGTTTAAAAAAGCCAAACGTGTTCGTTAAATTAATTGCTCGAAAGTCCTTAAACTGAAAGTAAAAAAAATAAAAAAAAAATAAAAATCGAATAATCCTCCCTGAAAAATAAAAACAAAACAAAACAAAAAAAGCAAAAACAAAACAACAAACAAACAAACAAAAAACAAAACAAAAACGAGACATCCAAGAAATACAATTTTTACAAAACTTCGGTTCTTTTTCAATTAAATTAAAGTCAAAAGTTCAATTTAATCTGTCACATCCGGCCCTTTAAGGCCCTTCTAATGTTGAAGTGGCCCCATGTAAAATGGGGTCTGACATCCCTTTTTTTTTGGAATATCCTAAATAGCTTTCTATATTCTGCTCATTTACAACAAAAAGGTAATAAAAAAATTTCTCTTTGCAAAAACAACATTTTGTATTTACCAAACGTCATTGGTCACAATTTCATTTAGAATTCATGTTAATTATTTCTTTCAACCTGGGTTTGTTTTTATTAGATAAACCATAGATTATTTTCTCTTGCACAAAATCAGTTTGGAGATTATATGGATTTAGATCATTAAAATGAGTGAAGACACACCCACACATCTACCTTTTTTTTTTAAATTATATATAAAAAAAGGGCTTAGTGGCCTAGTCAAAGGCCAAACTTAAATCCAATAGAGATGCAAGACGTCAACAGGCTGTTTGTGGTAACAACCCTCAAATGAATTGTTTTCCAAAATTTCTACACTTGGATGTGAAAAAGTCATTATTGATTGACAGTGGATGTTGCAGGGATGGTGAAATCAGTTATCAGGTGGCACTTATTTTGGATATCTCTTAGACAGAAACAACTTAAACTTCACTTAGTGAAACAGATTGTGAGGATGTTACGAATAAGTCAAGCGCATGAAGCTGCACTGATTAAACATAAAATTCTGTTTTATCATGAAGCTACAGGAAGACTTGTTTTGAGATTTGTATAATTATGTATACCTTATTTGCTTTGGGGGACATTTGATAATTCAAATACTAATATTGTAAATATTATATTTAACTTACTATGAGTGTATAAAATTTGTTGTTTTCCTCAGGATTTTCCCCTCAGGCAAGATAAACTGTCAAATTTCAACAACAAATTTGTCTGGTTTATTAACATTTGTATTTTTAGATTGATCAACTCAAAGAACTTATGGGGGAAAGAATTTTATACGCAATTTGTAAAATATGAACATGTACATTTAAACGCCACTCTGCTGCTGGTCTGACGGAGCTTTGAGCTGAATTATTCCACTGGAGTTCTGGCTGTTGGTTGTATTCCAGCAGAAAGTTTAATCTCTGTTTTAATCTCAAGATTTTATTAATCTCAAGTTTTGAAACCTTTAGTATGTGTTTTGGATCAATACTTCCCACCTGAGCAGTGGATCTGTGCTGCTCACCTGGAGTTATAGGCTTCCTGCCATCCCAAGTTACGCCATATGCTTCTTTTTTTTTAAAAGATGGATTGAGGAGTGCTTTGAGAAATGTTTTAGATTTCAGTTATTGTTTTTTGACCTAATGATGCTTTAAACCTCTAAGGTTAACAGAGACAAGTGGGTATATCACTTTAAAAGGATTAAAACAAATTAACACAATTCCAAAAAAAGAAAGTCAAAAACAGTCCACTGGTCTTTGTTTCCAAGTTTAAAGACGTTTCGCTTCCTATCCAGGAAGCTTTTTCAATTCAAAATGTCCGGAATAGTGTTGAATTTGAGGTTGTATACAGTAGCCCAACAAAGCCTTGTTTTTTTTTGAAAACATGCAAATTTAAACTGACGAAGGGGTTCACCGCTTTGGAATGGGGGTCGTTTGGCTTCTTTTGTTAGCCCATAAACCCTAACCCTAACCTGTCTTAAGTTTCTGAAAGGTGGGTCGTTAACAACAGGAAGCCAAACGGCCCCCAATCCAAGGGGGTGGACCCCTTCGTCATTTAAAATTTTTTTTGAAATGACGATGACCTGTATGACTGGGAATCTTCACCAGCAAATGAACGAAACTTTTGTATTTTATTTTAATGTAAAAAAAAAAGAGTAAAGAACAGAAACTAGAGCCCTGTTTAGTCCCATTAGTAAGAAGCCAGTGCACCTTTTTGATATTAACATAAGCACTTGTATCCTCTCAGTTATTAATCCACAGTATATTGTGATTTTTCAGGCTACGGCCACGTTGCTCCTCGCACCGATGCTGGCAAGACCTTCTGCATGTTTTATGCAGTCTTGGGAATACCTCTGACTCTGGTCATGTTCCAGAGTCTGGGTGAGAGGATCAACACTTTTGTCCGATATCTTCTGCGCAGAGCCAAGCAGGGGCTTGGCTTCAGGAAGACGGACGTGTCCATGGGAAACATGGTGCTGGTGGGTCTGCTGTCCTGTGTTAGCACCCTGTGCATTGGAGCTGCAGCCTTTTCTCACTTTGAGGACTGGAGCTTCTTTAATGCCTACTACTACTGCTTTGTCACGCTCACAACCATCGGCTTTGGGGACTTTGTTGCCCTGAAGAAGAAAGATGCTCTCCAGAAGCGATCGCCCTATGTGGCCTTTTGCTTCCTGTACATCTTGGTTGGACTGACGGTCACCGGAGCATTTCTCAACCTGGTTGTGTTGAGGTTTCTAACCGTGAATTCTGATGCAAGTATTGATGAAAGTGTAGAGGAGGAGCTTTTAGAACCCAAGGAGCCGCAGGGGGAGGAGGAAGCACCGGATAATGCACAGGCAGAGTTGGTCGAGGTAAGACGTACAGCTGATGCAGATGAAAGCCGGTTCAACCTTAACCTACCACTGGAGGCTGGCGGCAGCTGTGCAAGTCTGGTCTCCTCTCCTACAGACGACCTAAGACTCATTGAGTGTGAACGTTCTGAGCCTCCTGAGCACAGCAGACTCAGGGAGCTGTTCTCCTGCATGTGCTGTGGGCTGGATGTTTGCGGCAGCACCACCGAACTGCAGCATGAACACACATGTGGCCACAGCAACCCTGTTTTTTACACCTCCATCTCCTACAGGGTTGACCAAGTCTCCTGCAGTTCTCACACTGTTTCATCACCCGGCGCTGTAGCTCTCTGTTGGAAGAAAAACAACCTTCACATCAGACGGAAGTCACTCTGACCCAGGAGGCTTTTGTGGCTTTCAGAACAGATTAAACCCTCAAATATATTTAAAAACTTTGAAATGTAGCACTGTATGATCTTAAGATATATTTTTATACACTTCAGGGTTTCGAAATGCTAAAACGTGGCATGAACAAGTATGTGCCGATTTACAGACTTCTTCTGCTTTCCTTTTTTTGTCACATTTTCTAACGATGATTTCAGAAGTTATAACAATAAAGAAAAATATCTAAATCAGCTGGTAGAATAGTAATTGGTTCTACTGCTAATGAATGGTTGCACTTTTTTTAAATTCCAGTCTGTCAAATCAGTGGTGAGGAAGCACTGATTCACTTCTTTGAGAATAATTTGGTTCATGCTGCATTCAAGGGTTTCTAAGTTTATCGCCATATCAGAGCACTTCAATCAGATTCAATTCCAGAATTTGACAAAATGCTCCAGAACCTTCCTTTTTAGCCTGTTAGAGGATGATTTATTGGTGCATCATTGCTGTGCTGCAGAGGAAAATACATCAGAGCTTTAGGTCAGAAACTGATGATCTGACTTTTTTTTTTTTATGCTAGAAAGCAGAATCCTTGGTTCCTGCTACTTAAAGAATAAATCACAGACCATCACACTACTACCACCATGTTTAAATATCAAAATACATATTTTTATTTAAAGTTAGGTACAGTGCACAGAAGCTCTGACCTTAACTCCCTTTATGCCCAGCATTGTTATAGTTAAATAATTAACTTCCTGGATGAGTTGCTGAAGCACCGAGGACCAACTTTGAGAGCCAAACTCACTTTATTAATCATCCTTTCAAAAACAACTCAATTAATAAAAGCCTTGAACATATAACACACAAAAGAATTTACAAAATAACAAAGTCTTTTTTTGAGATTACAATTATATATTTCATTGAAATGTGTTCTCTGTATCTAACCCCTCAATTTGGGGGGTGATACACTTTTTCTAGTCTGTGGGATTGAAACTAGGAAACTTGTAGTTTTCCCATAACCCGAGCTCCCTGCTCTAACCACCATGTTAGCGCTTCTTTTAAATACAAAGAGAACACACAAAAAATATGATATGAAAAATAATAAAATTAAAATAAAGAAATTATTTTATCTATCTCGTGCTGGATCAGAGGCCGATGTAAAAATATATATTTTTTTTCAAAAAGCAGATTTTGAAAATTAGCATCACATGTAAAGTCTTGTTTATTGTGTAATGGCAGACAGTCTCTTGTGGTCCCCTCTTAAAATTCTATTTAAATTCAATTCAATTTATTTATATAGCACCAATTTACAACACCTCTCATCTCAAGGCACTTTACAAACACAATTCAACCAGATCATACAGTTAAATTCATTAAAAGTTTTCTATCTAAGGAATTTCCCCATTGTGGGACAATAAATTAATTTTCTATTCTATTCTTTTCTATTCTATTGTAAAAACGAGCTGATTGCATTGACTCATTGACTCAAAGGAGACCCCTCACACGAAGCATGCAGGTAGCGACAGTGGAGAGGAAAACTCTCTTTTAACAGGAAGAAACCTCCAGCAGAACCAGTGTGCCAGTCTGCCGAGGCCAACTGGGGCTCAAAGGTCTCTTTTTACCATCCTGAGGGATTGTGAAAGGGGAGGACAATTTCTGACACTTTCAGATGTATGCTGGAGCAAGACCATAAAGATATTTTATAACCAATAGAGTTTTAAACCCTAAAAAGAACAGTAAGTCAATGTAGTTAGACCAAACGCGAGTAGTGTGCTGTCTCTGTTGCTTCTGGAGATCTTTTGGCCTACTTCATGTTGTCAGACAGGTTCTGTTAAAAATTGTTCTACTACCCATAGCAGAGCCTAACTCGGCCAATGTCTGATATTTGAAAAATATATTAGTATCGCTTGAGACCATACCAAAACTGATAAAAAAACAACAAAAAACAGTACAATCTTTAAACACGAGGGGGCGCCACACATGCAGTTTTAGACACATGCAGGATTTGAACAAATTTGCAGTAAATTGTCAATTTCTATAAATGTAGACAGCCCTATAAGACCACCATGTAAGGAGTCTATTAGCAAAACAAGTCATTGTTGGTTAGCTCTAATTCTATAGGTCCTGCTGTAATCAGGTCTGCATGTGGCTTTAAATCTAAATGCTTTAATGAAGGGCCAGCTGTTTTCAACCTAATACATCAAATTAACATTTGAGAAAGGTTGTTGGAATAATCAAATCATCTTTATCTTATATTTCAATATGTTTAATGAAAGAATAAATCAGGAAGGGAAAGGCAAATACCTTTTGTGTATCGAGTGGCCAGCTAAATAATAAAAGATGCAGAATGTGTATGCTTAATCAGCAGATGTGTAAGCTGGGCTTATCTTTAAGAAGACTGGTGTGTTCAGACTCCCAGCATTGCCGTCACCTGTGACCTTCAGTTCTTTCCAGGCAGTAATCATCCCTGCTCTCTCTTAGGAACGTTCACTTCATTGCTCTGGCTGGTTCCCAAGGTAACACATTTAGCCCTATTGCTCAGTGTGGCAGAAAATGAGGACGGACACTGTACACACTATAGTAAATGGTCAAAACTTCCAGACTGCAACAATTGGAAATGCCTGCCAGCAAATGCCCATTGCTTTCCAGTATATGCCAGGTTTTGGCCAACATATAAGTAACGCTTTTATTAACTTCATCTCTAGTTATACAGTTAATTGTACTTATTTATAATCAATCATTTATAACCATTGGACTTATTTAGCAGTTTGTCACATAACAATCCTGCCTTTTTTATTTATTTTTTTAGGATTTTGTTATCAATACAAAGAAGTTTGATTTTAATTGGATTTAAATCTGGAGATTTAGTGATGATGCTTCTCAGGTTTTTATCTCAACAAACAGATTTCAATTTTTTTATGCTAAAATTAAAATTTCCTTCTCCCATATACACATGCTTTTTTTTTGGTTTGTATTTTTTTTTAAATCCTCGTAAGATAAACCGAGTTCTGTAAAATGATAAAATGTTTAAAGCTTAAAAGGTTATAAGTTTAAGAGGTTATAAAAACCTGTTGGATTTGCCTGCCGTGTTATTCTATTTTCTCTTCTTAATTGATACATTTATTTAAGTTTTTGAGCTGAACAAGTGGTAAAATTGCGGGAACTTAAGATTTTCATAGTTTTGAGTAACTCCAGCTTCGTATGTTTTCAACACTGAAAAGCAAAAATTAAACAAAGGAAATCAAAAGAGCTGGAGTTAAATAAATCTGTCCAAACAGTTGGACCAATAAAACATGAAATTGATTGTTAGGGATTCTGAAATAATTTTTTTCTAAACATTAATAAGCATTCACTATTTTTTCACAGCCGCAGATGACTCTCTTGCATTCCCATTTAGCATAAATTAAGATTATTCAAAGGTAATGGCTCGTCTAAAAGGAGTGCCAATGGTACTGTTAAGCTGTTCTCATACATTTTTAATGTGACCTAATATTAGTGCAGAAATGGCTTAAACCTTGACTCCGTTAAGTATTACAAACCCTCTTTAACTCCAGCTTTGTAGAAGATAAAGCAGGATATTAAGCTTCGTTAATCACCCTGAACTTAATCATGTAAAAAATAAAAGTGTCCTTAAAAGCCATGTTTGAAACCAACCATTTGGAATTAGCGTTATCATTTCTATCACCAAGAGTGATTAAATATAGTGCTAGATTTATGCAACGGCTTTTTGATGCCCATATAGTGTTCGATTTCTCTACAGCTTCCTGAGAGGCAAATATACACATATTAGCTGTAGTGCGTGCATCTATTCAGATTGTAAAAAAAGTAAAAATTTTTACTTTGTGAAAGAAAAAAACAAATATGGTCATCAGGTTTTTATTTAAAAAAGGTAGAAAAAAAGAAAATGTTTGAATATATTTTTTCAAAACCTATAATGGAAATGATCTGCTCTGATTATTAGTCAATGCTGTTCTAGTTTCTTGTTCCCAATTTACCACTAGAGGGTAGTGTTGGCTAATAAATGAAAACATCAAAACTGCTGGACTGTTGCAGATCTCCTGGACATGTTAAGCTCAACCAAGACACTTATATAAATGTATCTTCTAGCATTTTGTCTTTTAAATTTTATTTATTTTTCTTTTTTTGGTTACTAGAAGAACCTGTGTAATATCTCACATTTAACAGGTGATTCTTGCAGTTTACTGTAGAAAAATCCCTCTGAAGCTACAAGTTGAAATTAGAGCACCGCTTGTTTGAGTGTGAATAGGTGTTCTGCTCAGTAAGTGATGTGCCCAGACATGGATCATCTTTCAGCTTGATAAACTGCGAGGAGCAAACAATACTAAAACCAGCAGACAGAGCGATCTGTTGCATAAAAATCATCATCTCCAGAGTACAAAGTTTATATTCAGTGTTCCTCCAATTTTTACAAGAGATTGTATTTTACTTTATTCAGTTGACAAGTACCACACAAACTGAAAAACCTGACCAAATATTTTTGTATTAAATACAATTTTCTCACTTTCATTATGTCATGCATGTCTGTTAAAAAAAGTCAGCACCTCTGTTTGGTAAGTTTTTATCTTCTTTCTTTAGAAGATCAGTAGAAGTAAATTTACCTCTGCGTAATAGAACTTTTAAGCAGAGAGATACAAGTGAAGTTACGAGGACCTTAAATTGTACATATTTTTAACACTGATTTTGCATAACTTTATACTACTGTTTAATAACACTTCTTGTCTAAAGTGCACAATATTTTCAAAAAAGTGCTGTAAATCTACCATGGCTTGCAAAAGTTTGCATATCCCTTGAAACTTTTTGCATGTTGTTACAGTTCAGACCAAATCTTTGATGTTTTGTTGAAGAACTACACACAAAGTAAGCTGTGATTCCGAAGTACAAAGAAATGAACAATGGTAGAGGGTTTTCATAGTTTAGCTAACAGTGAACCATCCCTCCTATGAGTTAATATTTCAGATCCAACTTTCGCTATAGTTACAGCTGCAGGTCTTTTTGGAGTTGTCGCACACAGCTTTACAGATCCACACACTGAATCCATTGTTTACAGATTTACAGTTCTGAGTAAGGATTTTAGTTGGTTTTAGATTTGAACTGTAACTAAACAATTTAAACAGAATGCAGTTTTCATGTAGAATGTAC